AATAAATAGTTTTTTTAATATTTCAACATTAAATCCACACAGAAATGATGTTTTAGGAATAACAAAATGGTATTTTTGGAAACAGRTTCCAAAGTGAAACATTGAAATATGAACCTTGCATTTTCATCTGGACAGCCTGGCTGACTTGTACAATTCTGTAAAAGGGATTTTAACTCTCAAGTCTCTTTCCCCTGTGATGGACTTGTAACCTGTCTGAGTTGTATCTCGCCTCTCACACTCGTGACTGCTAGACCTGGGCACCAGTGACCCGGAAAGGAAGACGTGGGTAAAATGATGGATGGATGGATGGTCTCTTTTCTGGTTAAGGAAGGGGTAAGTAAAAAAAAATAAAATACGGGGGTGGTCAAAAAGAGGGGGTGGAATAAATATGTAGTTGATGCAATATCACTGTAACCATAGGCTGCAATTTTATATCACCACATCAAAGCAAAACAGAATTCAGACTATGGTTCAACAACGCTCGCCTCTAAAATCCTTACAAACCATTGTGGTGTGAGGGAATGGGAAACTGCTTTCAAATGCAACATACAGCATGATACAATTATGTTTGCTTTAATAATAATGTGAACCAGCAATATAATTCAGCTGCGAATGTACAGCTTTCCCCCCGGGGGGTGTGAGATCGTGCCAAATGAATCACAGTATGCTGCAGCTGAGATCTGACGGTGCCGTCTCCAGCTCAGTATGCACAGGCAGTGCATGCAAGGTCATTGAGGGAGATTCACCACAACATCYACAGGAACCATCCATCTCACTTATCACCGTACGTGCCACAGTGAGTAATCATATTATGATAAATAGGGATTCTTTCCATACGAACAAACAGAAAAGCGCCGATTACACAAGTGGATTTATCTGAGCAACGAAGAGCAGAATGTTCGCACATATACCGCAGATAATAAATTCGCACACAGATATCTGAGCATTCTGTAGAACTCTCTTGAAGACACCTGTCATCTTTTCCATCGCTATATTCCTTCACCCAGCAAGGAGAAAAAAAAAATAAAATCACAGAAAATCTGCTCTACTTTTCATCGACTTCTGTAAATAAAAACTCACACAAAAGCAAATCTGAAGGAAAGCCATCCTATGGCTGCAGGTTGTCAAATGAAGATGAAGGTGATATATGTGTGTGTGTGACAGTGTGTGTGTGTGCGTGTTTGGTTGCAGGAAACAGCAGAGGAGGAAGTAAAAATCTCACATCAGCAGAAGGTGAGCAAACACGGTAAAAGACGAGCGGGAGGCTGAGCACAATAACGGAGCAGGGTAAACTGTGTGACGGTGAGAAGGCTTGTGTGTGTGTGTGTGTGTGGGGGGGGGGGGGGSRGGRGAAGCACATCTATTTGTGGAGGGAACAGATGGGAAAACAGTTAAGGGAACCACAAGGGTATCACTTATCATCCATATGATGAGGCGATGCTGACTGGGTGACCGGCCTCGTGCAACATCTGGCCTTCTGACTCAAACCACGAGCAGCCAGCTYCCGGCTCATCTAAACACTCATCTGCAAGGGTCACAAGGTCATTAGGTCTCGGTCGGGTTCCTGACAAATCCGTGAAAATGTGAACATGTATGCAAACTCGAGTATGACCTAGTCATAAAACATATAACCTTTACATTTTGATAGAGAATTCGAAAATCAGCCTGAATTGTAGTTAAAATACAAAAAGTCCCCCCAAAAAGGCTTTAACTTCTGCATTATAATAGGAACAAAGCCACAGTTTTATTAGAAAAACTGAATAAAAATGATTTTTTTTCACTGTCAGCTTATCACTTCCTGTCTGCTGTCAAATCAAATATTTTGTTCCAGTATCACACTGTATGGTGCAATGAAACCATTTCACTTTTGAAACAAACATGTAACAGAATAAATCTGCTGGTAACAACATGTTAATTTGGTTTAACTGTGGTTGTTTGCAGATTTGTTTCAGTGGCTGAAGACGGCTGCAAACTGAAACACTGAGGGAAAGTCATGATCCAATGTCTGAGACTATTAGACAGTTAGACATATTTTAAACTATATCAGTTATAAATGAATTGTTTTCTGTTTTTTCTTTGATGTTATAAACATAGTGTTGTAATTTTTTTATCTTGTCAATCAAAATATGAGTAATGTATTCATATTTTGTTTACATTTTTCCCATCCACTTAACTAAAATGGCTGTCTCATATTGCCAGTTGAACACACATTTCTAGCCGTCTCTATCCCTCGGCACCTTTTTCTGGCAACTTCCAAAAAAAAAAAGGTCAACTTTACTTAAAATCCTGACAGCATGACAGACACAATTAGGCACAAATTCCATCTACTTCTTTCCAAATAAACTCAAGCTGAAAATATTCAGAGTGAGACCACCAGAAGTAGTTAAATATAATAATTTGTGCCCAGACCCCACAACTATCATAATTGTATAAAGCCTCATTCAGCTCATTCTGAAACTCCACTTGCTCTCACCTTTCACAATCTCTCAGTCAGTGGTATCATTTTAATCACACACACATTTTCATGCATCTGTTATTTGAAAATGTAAAAAGAAAACTTGCAAATAATAAATCTTGCCTAAAGAGCTGTCTCAGTTAAAATCTAGGCTGCATTGCGACTTATAAAGCTATCCGTAAGCTATATGTAAATCTGCACGGCATGCCTCTGTCGCTATAAAACAACAATAACAACAACAACAACAACAACAACAACAACAACAACACAAAAACAACAACACAAAAAGCAAAGCAGGAAGCCAAAGGTCAGACAGGACAGAGAAACAGCTTGGACCCTCTCCTGTTAAACATGACCTTTCCTTACCAGCCAGTGTTGAACTCAACATGAGCATCAAAGAAGCCGACAACAGGTGCCGTGGCTGCGTTCCAGCCGTGGATTCTGGCTCGGATCAAACCCTCCCGCTTGTTGTTCCTCACGATCTTCACCAGGCCCGGGTAGCGTTTGTTCACATACTGGTCCAAGTTGAATTTCAGCTCCACTGGAACAGAACAAAAGTATAAAAAGAATCCTCCTTTAAATTAAAGCTTTTACAAAATGTAACAAATTATTTGAGAAGATGTTGCTGGCCAAATTTGACCTCCTTTATATTTGTCATGTTAAAAAATAATGGTAAACTTTTACAGTAACATGCAGTTTTTGAAGAAGCTGGTACCGTTTGACTTTTCCTTCCAGTTTCCATCCGATTTATCTTAATATATCAACCCTAACCCAAAATACAAACTAGGAACCTCCTAACTGCTTGGACAATGTCTTAGTATCACAAAGAATCCAAGAGGGAAAATAGACATTTATCTGGTTATAAATAGTTTAAATTTGTTCTTCACTCTATAATAAACTCAATAACTGTAGAAGACTGTGGTTAAATGAAATATACTGTAGGTTTGAGACAAATCCATCCATATTTTGAAGTTCACACCATTTTATAGCAGAACAAAGACTATTGTTACCAGTGAGTCTGCTTTTGTTAATTTATAGTTTTTGATGTTCACAAGTATCTTTAAAAATTTGAATAATGAATAAATTTGTGTCCTAAACAAAGATGATTGTCATCACTACATTTCACTTCTCAATGCTGATTTTACTGCACTTTAAGAACAGAAGAGGCAAGAAGAGGAAGCCCTGATATTTTAGTCTCCACCTTCCCTAAAATTAATCTGTTTTAGTCCAACAACAGTCAGAAGTGGAATCTATTTGATCAGTCTAAATGAGATTATGTTAAAGGTTACTATAAAGGCTGCTGTTGTCAAAGAAACCAGAAACAACGGATCTGAATGTCAGACTCAGAGGGCCTTATGAACCTGATAAGACAGCCAAAGTAGGCTCACTCTGCTACTGAATAGAGCGAGGCTCAATTAAATCTCCAGCCACGGCCAGTGTCTCTGCATGCTTTATCAGAGGAGGGATGTTAATTATGCTACCTGCATCTGATGAGACATCGAGCACTACAAAGAAAAAAATTTCACCAGGAACAAACAGCTAAAGGGGATGAATGGTAATATTAATACATTTGATTTAATCAGGCTTTAACTCAGTAGACACAAGACAGTGAATGTAACTTTTTAAATAGATTTTAAAGTAGTTTTTTTTCATACTACAGCCCTCCAGAATTTATCACAACCACGTGGATTGAGAAAGCAGAGTTACAAAACTTTATCAAAATGTGAAATTATAAGATTTCTGGAATCAAAAATAGTTACACGTTTAGATTTACATATAATAAACCGTGGCTTCATATAAGCAATCTGTAACTTGACACCCCCTCTTTTAATGTTTATTTAAAAAGATTTAAACAAAATCACATTTGGTCAAAATGACCTCAGCACATTTTCAGATTCCTGCTTTTTAAACTACTTTTTGATCCCTGGATCCTCCTGGATATCATGAGCAATTCCAGCAATATGCCTTGATTTGTTATTCTAATTAGGATAAACTCATCAATATTAGGTTTGATTTCCATGTTTAGGTTATTCTCAGGATTTTTTTTTTACTTAATTTTAAAGAGGAGACCACAAATAATATTTGGATATTAAGAATGTTTGAAAAAAAAGACAAACATTTAAGGCTTTTCTGCTCAAAATCATTCTTTTTATAGCTACTCAAAAAAAGAGACTTCGACAATATTCTTTAAGATTATCAATCCATCATTATCTATATCTGCTTCTTCCTCTCAGGGTCACTGGTGTCTATATCCAGCAGTCACTGTGTGAGGGATTAAATGGGTTTGGTTTCATGTGGTGGGAACGTGACAAGTGCATTGTGTTTAAGAGTGACCTAGTCAATCATCAAACATCTTTTTTTAAATATTGTTGCAAAAAAATGAAATTTAGCTATTCATTTAACTCTAACCAGGATTTGTGTGTTTCTGATAATGTGGGAGTGATTTTTAGCTTTTATCAAGTGTAGCCTTGGCTGTTAAACTATTTTTAGCTTTTCATCAGCAATGTGAAATTCCTGATTGTGTCTGAGCCAGGTTTGTCAGCTGAGATGGACCGAGTGGGGGCCGAAACCTGCTGGAGGGGAGGAGAGGACAGTGGGGGTGTGTGGAGAAATGGACGAAACTACAATTTACTGAGGGATAAAAACAGTCTAAAAAGGGAAAAAAATAGCGCCACAGTTGAGATATTTATTATTATTATTATTATTATTATTATTATTATTATTATTATTATTATTATTATTATTATTATTATTATTATTATTATTATTATTATTATTATTTTAAAACAAATTTAAAGCATCAGATACAAAAGACACGGGCCATTCTTATGGGAGGGTTAAACTGAGTCCTTCTATGATTTTATTAATCTGACAGCTTATTAATTATGAATGCACAATTTGATGCAGAGCCTTGATCTTCCTCATTCCTAATGCTGAACATGCTCCACTGATTTCCTCTTTAAATGGCAATAAACTGAAGAGATAATAATTTGAATTTTCATAATAATAATAATAATAATTTTATATATATATATGTGTGTGTGTGTGTGTGTGTGTGTGTGTGTGTGTGTGTGTGTGTGTGTGTGTGTGTGTGTGTGTATGTATTTAAATGACTAGTCAGCAGAAAATACATTTTGCACTAAAGCCTGTCATTATCTTGTAACAGTGTTGATGTGAGGACTGAAAAGGCTCCTTTGCTGCAGTTTCTCTCCGGGTCACATAGTCCAGTGCATTTCTCTGCTAATGTATTTCTTCCAGCTGTATGAAAAAGAGCCMGCGTTCTCCGCTTTTACAGACGAGACTGGCTGTCCTCGGTGGAAGTAAAGTTTGCCGGGCATAGCAAGTTGAACAAATTGCTGTCTGTGTTTTATAGGAGGATTGATGGTTGTTTGAGCTTCTCCTGCAGGTTACTGCTGAGCGCTCCACTTTCTGAAGGAGAGATTAATAAGGATGCTTGTGGGACACGGGCTCAGAACAGCACCCACACCTACTTGCTGACTTTGGCTTGTGAAATAAATCAGCCAGCGAAAGTGTAAAAAAAAAAGGCAACGTAATCCCTAGCCTTTGTGATTGAGGAGACACAGTGAGCGGAAGGATTGTCAGGAGTCTTTTTTCTAGCTGAACGCCTTATATCGTTGTGGTCGCTGCGGGGCAAGGAGGGTGGGGAAGGGAGAAAGACTTCAGAAGCACTGACCCTTGAAGAAAACAAGCATTAGTATCTGACAGGATATTAAAGCAGCAAACAGCTCACAAGGACTTTTTTATGTCCTTTTATGTTTCAATCAAATATTGTGTGCTCCGTTTTTAAAACAGAATTATGCAATATATATATATATATATATATATATATATATATATATATATAGAAACAATTTTCACTTCTGTGTCTGAAGAATCCTTGTGTGGTGGATGTTTTTACACTAATGCCATAAGGGAGGATTATTAGCTCATTGCTGTCGTCCCATGAGGGTGAGTCAGGGCTAAAAGCTGGATCATGACTCGGTGATGAAGCAGGGGCCTCTGTGAGAGTTCTGTTTTTACTCTTTGCAAACCTGCAGGATTTTCCTGACTTTTATTTTAGTAAGATGATTTTCAACTCCATTGTTACTTGTGTGCTGCTGTGTTTTTTTTTAGCTTCAGTAAAATGATCCCTCTCAGAGGAAGAACATTTTCTTCTGCTCTAAAGCCCAGTCTCCTGAATGTGGACTTATGGACTTGTCTCAGACATTGATCCCGAAACAGGTTGGAAATTGATTTGTTTCATCGATCATGGGCAGACTAGTGAACTTACAAAGCAAGAAAACTGGCTTGCCCCATGCAATATGATGAATGAAATATTCAAATAAATAAATAAATAAATAAATAAATAAATAAATAAATCTGATCCACCTTATCCGGGTATAAAACTCTCAGAGTAATAATACTGACAGGTTGTGTTAGAGTGCATTTATTCACTGAACCCTCCTAATAAAAACACAAAAGATASATTTTAGATTCTTACACATAAAAATAAATCATCCTTTTTTTGTGACAATGACCTGAACTATGAMAAACAACTCAGTGATACTTGAATAAAATTAGGTTTTGTCTCTGCTTCTGCAGAAAATATGTTCAAGTTTTGCCACCATATTGTTGAATATTATCTCAATAAAGAACAGAAAAAAATTTAATGTAAAATAACACACTTCAAAGAGTAAAAAAAACTATTGAAAACATGAAGAATCACAACAAAAGGAAGCTAAAACATGAATACAAAAAAGTTTCCCTTCATTACATTTCATATCACCATGACTCAGGTGGATTTTCTGCCCTGCATTAATGAGCAAATCCTACTTTTTAAAGGTCTAATCAAATAAAATAAATTTTAAAAAAGATCCTTACTCAAAATTAATTTAAAATCTTAATATCGAGGGATGCTTTTTAAAATGTATTTTCGATGAATCATTAAGGTTTTTTTTTTAATTTTTTCTTGTATTTTATGAAGGTGAATCCGGCAGGATTTAATCAGCCTTTCATTTCCCCTAAGATTATGAATAAAAATAACCCACAGTCATTCTGGTTGACACAGGCAGCCAAATCTTATGGATGAAAAAATTAAAGTAAGATGACAGAGCTGTTGTTGTGAATAAACTCAGCTGCTAGTAAATGTCACAGGCTGTCTCAGTAAAAAATTAAATAAATCAAAATGTATTACCATCATTTTTTGGAGAGGGGTAGTTTGGGGGCTTTTTTGTAAAGGTCATGTTAATGTTAATTTTCTAATGTTGCAACAGCTCTAACGCTGAAAAAAAAAATCATGTGTTGAGTGAGA